CTGTTGAATCTGACGATTATGTGCCTTGGGGTTGCTCTTCTTTTGGAATATCTTTGTGGTGTTCTCTGTATTTCCTGCAATTGAGTGTTGGCCTGTCTTGCTAGGTGGGGGAAATTTTCCTGGATGATGTCCTGAAGAGTATTTTCCAGATTGGATTCATTCTCTTTGTCCCCTTCTGGTACACCTATCAAACGTAGGTTAGGTCTTTTCACATAGTCCCACATTTCTTGGAGACTTTGTTCATTCCTTTTTGTGCTTTTTTCTCTAATCTTGGTTTCTCATTTTATTTCATTGAGTTGGTCTTCGACTTCAGATATTCTTTCTTCTGCTTGGTCAATTCGGCTATTTAAACTTGTGTTTGCTTCGCGAAGTTCTCGTATTGTGTTTTTCAGCTCCTTTAATTCATTCATATTCCTCTCTAAGTTATCCATTCTTGTTATCATTTCCTCGAATCTTTTTTCAAATCTTTTTTCAAGGTTCTTAGTTTCTTTGCATTGATTTAATGCATGATCTTCTAGCTCACAAAAGTTTCTCATTATCCATCTTCTGAAGTCTAATTCCATCATTTCGTCACAGTCATTCTCCGTCCAGCTTTGTTCCCTTGCTGGTGAGGAGTTTTGGTCCTTTCTAGGAGGTGAGGTGTTCTGGTTTTGGGTGTTTTCCTCCTTTTTGTGCTGGTTTCTTCCCATCTTTGTGGATTTGTCTGCTGGTCGTCTGCGTAGTTGCTGACTCTTCGATTGGGTCTCTGAGTGGACACCCAGAATGTTGTTGCTTGGTTTTCCTTCTACCAGTCTAGCCCCTTCACTGTACGACTGCTGAGGTCCGCTCCAGACCCTGCTTGTCTGGGGTGCACCTCTAGCAGCTGTGGCACAGCGAGGGATGCTACCAGTTTCTTTTTCTGCTATCTTTGTCCCAGGATGATGCCTGCCTAATGTCAGTCTTTTGGATATAGAGGGGTCAGGGAGCTGCTTGAGGAGACAGTTTGTACTTTATAGGGGCTTAATTGCTGAGCTGTGATCTCTGTTGTTCATTCAGGGCTGTTAGGCTACTATGTTTGATTCTGCAGCAACAGAGCTCATTAAAAAACCCTTTTTTTCTCAAATGCTCTGTGTTGAGGGGTTTGGGCTTTATTTTTGGATGTCCGTTGAGGTCCTGCCCAGCTAGGATGCAGACTAGCCACTGTTGGCTGCTGAGGCTCTGCCCTGCTGTTGTGTGATTCGCCCTGTTCCTGCAGGCTCTGCTGTGGTCTCCGCCACGCCCTGCGGCGGAGTCCCTCTGTTGTAGCAGGTTGCCTCGGCAATGGCAGGCTGCGTCAGCAGTGGGCGTGTATCTCAGTAGGGACAGGTTGCCTCGGCAACGGCAGGCTGCGTCAGCAGTGGGCGTGTATCTCAGTAGGGACGGGTTGCCTCGGCAACGGCTGGCTGCGTCAGCAATGGGCGTGTATCTCAGTTGGGGCGGGTTGCCTCGGTAATGGTGGATGCCACTCCCCCTCAGAGCGTCTCGGGCCGTCTGCCCGGGGCTTGTTTGAAATCGCGGTTTTGTTCGTCCCACTGGGCCAACCCTAATGCTCTGTCCCTGCGATCCCCTGGCTGGCCCACTGTCCAAGTCTAGCTCAGTCTCAAGTCCAGCCCTCTCACGTCTCCGGTTGCTGGTTCAACGGGGCACCCGGACAAGCGCACCCTGTGGGGAGCGCTGGGTAGGGCCGGCCGCCGCCACCCAGGCTGCCGGCTTCACCAGGCGGAAGTTCTGCCTGGCGTCCCGCGTCTCCTCTTCACTTGGGAATTTCCCCATTCCATGGGCAACAAAGATCAGTCTGGAAATGCAGCTCAGACTCACCTTTCCGCGGACACAACGAGATCTCCAATCCCATGACTAGCATTCTTATACACCAACAAATGTCAAGTGAAAGCCAAATCAAGAATGCTATCCCATTCACAATTGCCACAGAAAGAATGAAATACCTAGGAATACAGCTAACCAGGGAGGTGAAAGATCTCTACAATGAGAATTACAAACACTGCTCAAAAAAATCAGAGATGACACAAAAAGAAAAACATTTCATGCTCATGGATAGGAATAATCAATATCATTAAAATGGCCATACTATCCAAAGCAATTTGCATATTCCATGCCATTTTTATAAATCTACCATTTGACATTTTTCACAGAACTAGAGAAAACGATTTTAAAGTTCATACAGAACCAAAAAAAGAACACTAATAGCCAAGGCAACCCTGAGCAAAAGAACAAAGCTAGAAGCAACACATTAGCCAACTTCAAACTATACAACAGGGCAAAAGTAACCAAAACAGCATGGTACTGGTACAAAAACAGACACATAGATCAATGAAACAGGATAGTCTAGAAATGAGACTGCACACCTATAACCATCTGCTCTTTGATGAAGCTGACAAAAACAAGCAATAACGAAATGACTCCTCATTCAATAAATGGTGCTGGGATAACTGGCTAGCCAGATGCAGAAGATTGAAGCTGATTCCCTTCCTTACATCATATACAAAAATCAACTCAAGATGGATTAATAAATGTAAAACCAAAAACTATTAAAACCCTTAAAAACAACCTAGGCAATACCAGTTTCTACATAGCAACTGATAAAGATTTTATGATAAAGACACCAAAAGCAATTGTAACAAAAGCAAAAATTGGCAAATGAAATACAATTAAACTAAAGAGCTTCTTCACAGCAAAAGAAACTATCAATAGAATAAACAGACAACCTATACAATGGGAGAAAATATTTGGAAACTACACATATGACAAATGTCTAATATCCAGCATCTATACAAAAATTTATAAGAAAAAAAACAGGCAACCCCATTAAAAAGTGCACAAAGGATATGAACAGGCATTTTTCAAAAGACATACAAGCTGCCAACAAACAAAAGAAATAGCTCAATATCACTGATTATAAGCAAAATGGAAATCAAAACCACAATGAGATACTATCTCACACCAGTCAGAATGCCTATTATGAAAACGTCAAAAAATAACAGATGCTAGTAAAATCACAGGGAAAAGGAAACACTTAAACAATGTTGGCAGGCATGTAAATCTTTTCAACCATTGTAGAAAGCGGTGTGGCAATTCCTTAAAGAACTAAAAACAGAAGTATGGTTCAACCCAGTAATCTCATTTCTGAGTATATATTTCCCAAAATATAAATCATTCTATCATAAGGACACAACATGTACATGTATGTTCATTGCAGCAATATTTACAATAGCAAAGACATGGAATCAACCTAAATGACCATCAATGGTAGACTGGATAAAGAAAATGTGGTACATATACAACATAGAACACTATACTGCCATAAAAAAGAATGAGATTATGTCCTTGGCAATTAGGTAATTGGAGCTGAATGCCATCATCCTTAGTAAACCAATGCAGGAACAGGCAACTGAATACCACATGTTCTCACATATAAGTGGGAGCTAAATGGTGAACACACATGGACACAAAGGGGAAAAACAGACATAGGTATCTCCTTGAGAGTGGAGGTTGGGAGGTGGGAGAGAATCAGAAAAATGTAACTACTGTGTACTAGGCTTAGTACCTGGGTGACAAAATAATCTCTACGACAAACTCCCATGATACGAGTTTACCTACATAAGAAACCTGCACATGTACCACTGAGCCTAAAATAAAAGCTTTTTTAAAAGATATACAAATCAATGAGATAACATCTCACACCCATTGCAATGGCTATTATTAAAAAGTCAAAAAATAATGGATGGTGGTGAGGCTGTGGAGCAGAGTGAACTCTTATACACTGTTGGTAAGAATGTAAATTAGTTCACCCACTGTGGAAAGCAATTTGGAGATTTCTCAAAGGACTTAAAACAGAATTTCCATTCAACACAGCAATCCCATTGTTGGGTATACACCCTCCCCCCAAAATAAATAATTCCACCAAAAGACACATGCACTTGTATGTTTATAGCAGAAGTATTTACAATAGCAAAGACATGGAATTAGCCTAAGTGCCTATTAATGGTGTATTAGGTAAAGAAAATTTGGTATATATGGTATATATATACCATAAAAAAGAATGAAATCGTGTCCTCTGTGGCAACACAGATGCAGCTGGAGGTCATTATCCAAAGTTAACAAATGAACAGAAAACCAAATACTTCATCTTCACACTTATCAGTGGGAGGGAGCTAAGGATCTGGGACACATGGACACAAATGGGAACAATAAACACTGGGTACTCCACAAGAGGGGAGCAGAAAGTAGTGGAAGAGTTGAAAAACTACCTATTGTGTACTATGTTCACTATATGGGTGCTAAGATCAATCATACCCCAAACCTCAGTATCACACAATATACCAGTGTAACAAACCTACATATGTACCCCTGAATCTAAAACAGAAGTTGAAATTTATAAAATAATTTAAATAAGTAAATTAAGATATCAGTGTTTCAAAAATCAAAAATAAAGTAAAATGCAAGTTTAAACGGATTTCAAAACAATGTATAAACACATATTTACAGTAAATTTGATCTTATAAAAACTTATTTTCTAATATCACATGTTAAAATTTTTGTTGTTGAAACTTTCTGACATAAAATTAAAATAAACTGTTATTGATTGAAAAATAGAGAATATCTCATATAAAATGACTTTAAGGTTAATTAACTATAAGTTTTTAAATGACAAACAGGCAAAAATTGTGAGGAAAAAATTAGAACAACTGAAAGACAGAAAAATAGACAAATCAAAATCCATTTTTTCACATCAGATAGGATGACTGAACATTATAAAAATATTAGTTCTAAGTTAATTGATAAACTTAATGCCAAAAATCCTAATAAAATACCAAGAATTTGCAGTATCATTAAAATTGATATTTAAGTTCATATATAAAAAAAACAAGCAAGAAAAACCAAAAAACTGAGACAAGAAAATAAAATAATTTATAGTGAGGTGAGTTGAAGAAAAATAAAATAATAAACGAGACAATATAACTAGGGAACATCATTATCAACAATAAAATATATATGGAAGACTCTATAATTAAAAGAGTGACATATTGGTAGATGGAAGAGCAAATAGATAAGTATAACAGATTAGAAAGTCCAAAAATTGGTCTAAACAGATGTGAATATTTAGTAGATCATAATAGTGGCATATCAAATCACTAAAGAAAATCAAATCACTAGAAAAAAAATGAATTTTTATTGGTTCACTGGGACAACTGCATAGAAATTTGGAAAAAGAAAAAATAATTCTATATCTTACAATATAAATAACACTTTATGCCACATGATTTAGAGATCTAACTGAAAAACAATGACAACATACTAAAAGAAAATATAGGTCATATCCTCTTTAAGTTTCATGTACACAAAGACATTCTAAATATGACTGAAAATTTGGAGGTCATAGTAGAAAATACAGATAAAGAGGAGGATCCAAGATGGCCAAATAGTAACAGCTCCAGAGTGCAGTTCCCAGCAAGAACAACACAGAGGGTGAGTGCCCACCGCATTTCCAAACAAATTTTCACTGCCCACAGACCACAAGATTCCTGGGCCAAAAATCGCCATGAGTGTTCAGCACGGTGGATTCAGCCGGTGCCAGGTTGGCACACAGAAACTCACACAAATCTGGGCAGCTGCTTCAACTGGCACCTAGAATGCCTGGCACATAGAGCTGCCCATTCAACTGAAAGGGAGGGGGCAGAGACAGGGAGCCAGGAGATCTGGCTCAGTGGGTACCACCCCCACAAAAGAAGCAATCTGAAACACTCTGGATTGAGAATTTCACAGCAAGTGCACCTGGACCCAGGATGGTCCAGCTCAGTCGGGGGGGAAGGGTGACTACCACTACCAAGGCAGTTTGCCACTACCAACGCAGTTCACATAGCAGCTCGGCAGAGCCTGCAGCAGCTCAGTAACACCTCTGCTGGCAGACTGTGACTAGACTACTCCATGCAGGGCAGGGCATCTATGAAAAAAGACAGCAGCATGACAGGAACTTATAAATAAAGCCGATCTTCCTAGGACAGAGCACCTGGGAAAAGAGGTGGTTATGAGTTCCACTGCAGCAGACGGAAAAGTACCTGCCCAGCAGCTCTGCGTGGAACAATGGTGCTCCCAGCATGGCACCTGAGCTCCTATAAGGGACAGACTGTCTCCTCAAGCAGCTCCCCAACCCCCATATAGCCAAAGAGACACCTCACAAAGGAGAGCTCAGTCTGACATCTGGCAGGTACCCTTCTGGCACAGATAACCGAAGAAAAAACTGACAGCAACCCTTACTGTTCTGCAGCCCCTGCAGGTGATTCCCAGGCAAGCAGGGTCTAGAGTGGACCTCCAGCAGTCCTACAGCAGAGGGGCCTGACTGTTAGAAGGAAAACTAAAAAACAGAAAGAAATAGCTTCAACATCAACAGAAAGGACATCCACTCAGAGAACCCATCCAAAACTCACCAACTACAAAGACCACAGGTAGATAAAGCCACTAAGATGGGAAGAAAACAGCACAAAAAGGCTGAAAACACCAAAAACCAGAATGTCTCTCCTCCAAAGGATCACAACTCCTCACCAGCTAGGGATCAAAGACAGATGGAGAATGAATCTGATGAACTGACAAAAACAGGCTTCAGAAGATGGTTAATAACAAACTTCTCAGAGCTAAAAGAACATGTGCTAACCCAATGCAAAGAAACTAAGAACCTAGAAAAAAGGTTAGAAGAGATGCTAACTAGAATAAACAGCTTAGAGAAGAATAGAAAGGACTTGATGGAGCTGAAAAACACAGCAAGAGAACTTTGTGAAGCATGCACAAGTTTCAATAGCCAAATCGACCAAGCAGAAGAAAGGATATCAGAGAATGAAGATCAACTCAATGAAATAAAATGAGAAGGCAAGATTAGAGAAAAAAGAGTGAAAAGAAATGAACAAAGCCTCCAGGAAATATGGGATTATGTGAAAAGATCTAATCCATGTTTGATAGGTGTACCTGAATGTGACAGAGAGAATGAATCCAAGCTGGAAACCACCCTTCAGGATATTATCCAGGAGAACTTCCTCAACCTAGCAAGCCACGCCACCATTCAAGTCCAGGAAATACAGAGAACACCACAAAGATATTCCTCAAGAAGAGCAACCCAAGGCACATAATCATCAGATTCACCAGGGTTGAAATGAAGGAAAAAAATGCTAAGGGCAGCCAGAGAGAAAGGTCGGGTTACCCACAAAGGGAAGCCCATCAGACTCAAAGTGGATCTCTCAGCAAAAACTCTACATGCCAGAAGAGAGTTGGGGCCAATATTCAACATCCTTAAAGAAAAGAACTTTCAACCTAGAATTTCATATCCAACCAAACTAAGCTTCATAAGCAAAGGAGAAGGAAAATCCTTTATGGACAAGCAATTGCTAAGAGATGTTGTCACCACCAGGCCTGCCTTACAAGAGCTCCTGAAAGAAGCACTAAGCAAGGAAAGGAACAACCAGTACCAGCCACTACAAAAATGAACCAAATGGTAAAGACAATTGACACAGTGAAAAAAAAATGCATCAACTAACGGGCAAAACATCCGGCTAGCATAAAAATGGCAGGATCAAATTCACACATAACAATATTAACCTTAAATGTAAATGGGCTAAATGTCCCAATCAAAAGACACAGACTGATAAATTGGATAAAAAGTCAAGACCCATTGGTGTGCTGTATTCAGGAAACTCTTCTCACATGCAAGGACACACACAGGCTCAAAATAAAGGGATGGAGGAAGATTTGTCAAGCAAATGGTGAACCAAAAAAAAAAAAAACAGGGCTTACAACCCTAGTCTCTGATAAAATAGACTTTAAACCAACAAAGATCAAAACAGACAAAGAAGAGCATTACATAATGGCAAAAAGATCAATGCAACAAGAAGAGCTAACGATCCTAAATATATATGCACCCAATACAGGAGTACCCAGGTACATAAAGCAAGTTCTTAATGACACACAAAGAGACTTAGACTCCCACACAATAATAGTGGGAGACTTTAACACTCCACTGTCAATATTAAACAGATCAATGAGACAGAAAATTAACAAGGATATCCAGGACTTGAATTCAGATCTAGACCAAGTGGACCTAACAGACATCTACAGAACTTTCCACCCCAAATCCACAGAATATACATTCTTCTCAGCACTGCATTGTAACTACTCTAAAATTGACCACATAATTGGAAGTAAATCACTCCTTAGCAAATGCAGAAGAATGGAAATCATAACCAACAGTCTCTCAGACCACAGGGCAAGCAAATTAGAACTCAGGATTAAGAAACTAACTCAGAACTGCACAGCTTCATGGAAACTGAACAACTGGCTCCTGAATGTCAACTGGAAAAACAATGAAATGAAGGCAGAAATAAAGATGTTCTTTAAAACCAACGAGAATGAAGACACAACATACCAGAATCTCTGGGAAACATTTAAAGCAGTGTCTAGAGGGAAATTTATAGCAATAAATGCCCACATGAGAGGCAAGGAAAGATCTAAAATTAATGCCTATTGTCAAAATTGAAAGAGCTAGAGGAGCAAGATTAAAAAAATTCACAAGCTAGCAGAAGACAAGAAATGACTAAGATCAGAGCAGAACTGAAGGAGATAGAGACATTAAAAAAACCCTTCAAAAAATCAAAAAAATCCAGAAGCTGGTTTTTTGAAAATATCAACAAAATAGACAGACAACTAGCCAGATTAATAAAAAAGAAAATGGAGAAGAATCAAATATATGCCATTAAAAACAATAAAGGGGATATCATCACTGAGTCCACAGAAATACAAACTACAATCAGAGATTACTACAAAAAAACTCTATGCACATAACCAGTAAACCTGGAAGAAATAAATAAATTCCTGGATACTTGAACCCTCCCAAGCCTAAACCAGGAAGAAGTTAAAACCTTGAATAGGCCAACAACAAAGGCTGAAGTTGAGGCATCAATTAATAGCCTACCAACGAAAAAAAGTCCAGGTCCAGACGGGTCCACAGCTGAATTCTACCAGACATATAAAGAGAAGCTAGTACCATTCCTTCTGAAACTATTCCAAACAAGACATAAATAGGGAATCCTTCCCCAATCATTGTATGAGACCAACATCATCCTGATACCAAAACCTGGCAGAGACTCAACAAAAAAAAGAAAACTTCAGGCCAATATCTGTGATAAACATAGTGGCAACAATCTTCAATAAAATACTGGCAAACCGATTTCAACAGCACATCAAAAAGCTTATCCATCACGATCAAGTAGCCTCCATTCCAGGGATGCAAGGCTGGTTCAACATACACAAGTCTATGAATGTAATCCACTACATAAACAGAACCAAAGACAAAAACCACATGATTATCACAATAGATGTAGAGAAGGCCTTTGACAAAATTCAACAGCCCTTTATGCTAAAAACTCTCAATAAACTAGGTATTAAAGGAACATATCTAAAAACAATAAAAGTTATTTATGACAAATCTAAAGCCAATATCATACTGAATGGGCAAAAACTGGAAGCATTCCCTTTGAAATCCAGCACTAGACAAGGATGCCCTCTCTCACCACTCCTATTCAATATAGTATTGAAAGTTCTAGCCAGAGCAATTAGACAAAAAAAAAAAAAAAAAGAATATTCAGTTAGGAAAAAAGGAAGTCAAATTGTCTCTATTTTCAGATGATGTGATTGTACATTTAGAAGACTCCTTAAACTGATAAGCAACTTCAGCAAAGTCTCAGGATACAAAATCAAAGTGCGGGAATCACAAGCACTTCTATATACAAATAACAGACTAACAGAGAGCCAAATCATGAGCGAACTCCCAATCACACCTGCTACAAAGAGAATAAAATACCTAGGAATACAACTAACAAAGGATGTAAAGGACCTCTTCAAGGAGAACTACAAACCACTGTTCAAGGAAATAAGAGAGGACACAAACAGATGGAGAAACATTCCATGCTCATGTTTAGGAAGAATCAATATCAGGAAAACGGTCATACTGCCCAAAGTAATTTATAGATTCAATGCTATCCCCATCAAGCTACCACTGACCTTCACAGAACTAGAGAAAACTACCTTAAACTTCATATGGAACCAAAAGAGAGCCTGCATAGCCAATACAATCCTAAGTGAAAGAACAAAGCCAGAGGCATCATGCTACCTGACTTCAAACTATGCTACAAGGCTACAGTAATCAAAACAGCATGGTACTGGTACCAAAACAGAAATATAGACCAATGGAACAGAACAGAGGCCCTGGAGGCAACACCACACATCTACAATCATCTGATCTTTGACAGACCTGACAAAAACAAGCAATGGGGAAAGGATTCCCTGTTTAATAATTGATGTTGGGAAAACTGCCAGCAGTGTGAAGAGAGCAGAACCTGGACCTTTTCCTGACACCTTACACTAAAATTAACTCCAGATGGATTAAAAACTTAACCATAAGACCTAACACCATAAACCCCTAGAAGAAACCTAGGCAAAACCCTTCAGGACATAGGCATAGGCAAGGACTTCATTACTAAAACACCAAAAGCATTGGCAACAAAAGCCAAAATAGACAAATGGGACCTAATTAAACTCCAGAGCTTCTGTACAGCAAAAGAAACAATCATTAGAGTGAACTGGCAACCAACAAATGGGAAAAAATTTTTGCAAGCGACCCATCAGAAAAAGGGCTAATATCCAGAATCTAGAAAGAACTAAAACAAATTTGCAAGAAAAAAACAAACAAACCCATCCAAAAGTGGGCAATGAATATGAACAGACATTTTCAAAAGAAGACATATGAAAAATGCAACAAACACATGAAAAAATGCTCATCATCACTGATTTTTAGAGAATGCAAATCAAAACCACATTGAGATACCACCTCAGGCTAGTTAGAATGGTGATCATTAAAAAATCTGGAGACAACAGATGCTGGAGAGGATGTGGAGAAATAGGAACACTTTTATACTGCTGGTGGGAGTGTAAATTAGTTCAACCATTGTGGAAGACTGTGTGGTGATTCCTCAAGGACCTAGAAATAGAAATTCCATTTGACCCAGCAATCCCATTACTGGGTATATACCCAAAGGATTATAAATCATTCTATTATAAGATACATGCACATGTATGTGCATAGTGGCACTGTTTACAATAGCAAAGACCTGGAACCAACCAAAATGCCCATCGACGATAGACTGAACAAGGAAAATGTGGCACATATATGCTATGGAATACTATGCAGCCATAAAGAACAATGAGTTTGTATCCTTTGTGGGGACATGGATGAACCTGGAGAACATCATTCTCAGCAAACTGACACAAGACCAGAAAATCAAACACTGCATGTTCTCACTCATAGGCACGTGTTGAAAAATGAGAACACATGGACACAGGGAGGGGAGCACCACACACTGGGGTCTGTTTGTGGAGGCCAAGGGAGGGACAGCAGGGGGGTGGTGGGGAGGTCAAGGAGGGATAACATGGGGAGAAATGTCAGATGTAGATGACGGGGGATGGAGGCAGCAAACCACATTGTCATGTGTGTACCTATGCAACAATCCTGCATGATCTGCACATGTACCCCATAACCTAAAGTACAATAAAAAAAATAAAAAATAAAAATAAGAAAAAGAAAATATTGATAACATTGAGTAAATAAAACAGAAACTATTTGCATGAAAACGAAGATAATTCAAAGGAAAACTGATAATGGGGAAAATATATTTGCAACATATCCTAAACACAAAGGGCTAATATACATTTTATATAAGTATATATGTGTGTGTGTGTGTTAATATACATATACACACTTACATCCATACACATGCACAAACACACACACAATTGAGGAGAGATGTACCAAACACTTGAGAGAAAAATAGGAGAAAGTATGTAGATAATTCACATAAGCACGTAAAAACTGAACTACAACATACAAAAAATATTCAAGCTTACTTCATTCCTCACCTATCAAGTTGGAAACATTTTAAAGTACAAAAGTACATTTTGTTGGTGAGGCCAGGAGGAAAAAGCCACTCTTACCCACTGCTAGCAGAAATGCAAATTGTCAAAATTTTTCCAGAGGTAAATTTAGCAATACCTAATGAAGCTATATATGCCCTTACATTTTGCTAAAAATTTCACTTTAGAAATCTATCTAGAAATTAAATCCAACAATAAAGTGCAAATGGTCAAGGTTATTCAGTGTGGAATAGTTTCAATTGCTAAGCATTAGAAACAACCTAAATGCACATATATAGGAAAGTGATTAGACATAGACTATACATATATACAGTGGAGTAGTATGCAGTCATAAAAGAGAATGAGTAATTTCCAGTTTCTGGCATGTTAGGAGCTTGGAGGTTGTCGCTTCACCTTAGCAACAAGTAATAGGCTGACCAAACTGAAAAATGAACTCTTTTTAACTGTCAGAAAAGTGAAATCAAAGGGAAAATTATTGCCCCGAAAATCAGAGAGGCAGACATATGAATACAGAGAATCATAATTTACTGGAGTGAAAACCTCGAAGCAGAACTTCAGCATGAACCAGTACCAGGGTAGAAAAACCTGAACTGTAATTGACAAATTATTGGAGGCTTAGAGCAGACAAGTCTGGGAGTAAAAACTTTGGAGATATGTCTAATGACGGGGAAACATGGTTATGAATTTTACCTCATAGATTCTCACAGTGAACATTGGAAAAAAAAATCCTCCCATGCTTCTGAAAAGGAAAGGCAAAAAGAAACCACTTTTTAATATGACAGAGCATTTTGTTTTTCTTAATAAGGTCTGCCTCAAGAGAAACTACTTTACCGGAGCCTAAACCATTAGCATTTTATCAGAGTCTAACTGACCTGGGAGAGAAAATACCCAAATCTAGCCCCGTGGAGCCTTCCACATAAAGAAAGAAAAAGGAAAATGAAACTCCGCAGGCGTGGTGGCTCACACCTGTAATCCCAGCACTTTGGGAGGCTGAGGTAGGTGGATCAACTAAGGTCAGAAGTTCATGACCAACATGAAGAAACCCCGTCTCTATTAAAAATACAAAATTAGCCAGGTGTGGTAGCACACACCTGTAATCCCAGCTACTCATGAGGCTGAGGAAGGAGAATCACTTGAACCTGGAAGGCGGAGGTTGCAGTGACCCAAGATGGTACCATTGCACTTCAGCCTGGGAAACAAGAGTGAAACTCCATCTCAAAAAAAAAAAAAAAAAAAAAAAAAAAAAAATCAAACTCAGTGTTACTCTAGCCATCCTATCCTAGGGCAGAAAGGATTGAGAAGCATTGGTGAGGTTCACATTTTTAGAAGCACAGGCTAACACCTAATTTATAGAACCATGGACCACTTCCCTTCTCCCAACATTTTACCACCTGAAAAAACACTTACCAGGGTTCTATTTATCCAGTATCTTATGTCTAGCTGTTAAAAAAAGTTACAAGGTATAGCGAAGGTCAAAATACATAATTTAAAGAGACAGAGCAAGCATTAATACCACACTCAGATATGGTAGTGATGTTGGAATTGTAAGATCAGAAATTTAAAACTATTCTTCATATGCTATACACCAAAAATCTACAAGCTCAGAGCCAAATCAAGAAAACGATCCTATTCACAATAGCTACAAAAGAATAAAATATCTAGGAAACAGCTAACCAGGGAGGTTAAAGATCTCTACAAGAAATCCTACAAAATATTACTGAAGCAAATCAGAGAAGACACAAAGAACTGGTATAATATTCCATGTTTGACACCCATCAGAAGGGCTATCACTAAAAAGTCAAAAAAAAAAAAAAAAAGATGCTCGTGAGGTTGCAGAGAAATGGGAATGCTGGTGGGAATGTAAATTAGTTCAGTTACTGTAGAAAGCAGTCAGTCTGGAGATTTCTCAAATACCTTAAAATGGAACTACCATTTGGCCCAGCAATCCCATTATTGAGTAAATACACAAAGGAATATAAACTGTTCTACCATAAAGACACATGCATATGTATATTCATCATAGCACTATTCACAACCACAAAGACATGAATTCACCTAAATGCCTAGCAATGTTGACAGGATTAAAAAAATATGGTACATATACACCATGGCATAACACACAGCCATAAAAAAGAACAAGATCATGCCCTTCGCAGCAACATGAATGGAACTGGAGCTCGTTATCCTAAGTAAACTAATTTAGGAACAGAAAACCAAATAGTACATGTTCTCAATTATAAGTGGGAGCTAAACATTGAGTACATATGAATACAAAGAAGGGAACAACAGACACCAGCACCTACTTGAGAGTGGAGGGTGGGAGGAGGGTGTGGATCAAAAACTGCCTATCAGGTACTATGCTTATTACTTGGGTAATGAAACAATGTGTACACCCAATCTCCATGGTGTGCAATTTACCTATATAACAATCCTCCACAAGTACCCCTGTATCTAAAATACATTTTTTAGAAAAGCCTTTAAAAATATGGGATTATATAATGTGATCTAACCTTCAATTCATCAGCATTCCTGAGAGAGAAGAGAAAGTAAACAAATTGGAAAACGTATTTGAGAATGTAACCCAGGAAAATTTCCCCAATCTTACTAGAGAGGTCCACATGCAGATAAAAGAAATACAGAGAACTCCTGCAAGATACTAGACAAGATGACTATTCCCAAGGCACACAGTCATCAGTTTACAAGGTCAGCACAAAATAAAAATCTTAAAGGCAACTAAAGAGTCATATTACCTATAAAGAGAATCCCATCAGACTAACAGTGGACTTCTCAGCAGAAACTGTATAAGCCAGAAGAGATTAGGGGCCTATTTTCAACATTCTTGAAGAAAATCCAGCGAAGAACTTCATATCCTGCTAAACCAAGCATCATAAAGAAAGGAGAAATGAAGTCTTTGCCAAATGAGCAATCACTAAGAGAATTCATCACCACCAGACTGGCCCTACAAGAGATGCTTAAGGGAGTTCCATACATAGTAATGAAAGAATGATACTTGCTACCACAAAAGCACACATAAGTACATAGCCCACAGATCTTATAAAGCAACTACACAATCAAGACCACGAAGCAACTAGCTAAGAATACTGCAATAGGAAAAAAAGCTTACATATCAATATAAAGCTTGAGTGTAAATGACCTAAATCCTCCACTTAAAAGAAATGAAGTGGCAAATTAGATAAGAAAACAAGACTCAACTTTCTGCTGTGTTCAAGAGATATATGTCACATTTAATGACACCTATAGGCACAATTTAAAGGGATGGAGAAAGATCTATCATGCAAATAGAAATCAAAAAACAGCAGAGGTCATTATTTTTGTATTGGATAAAACAGACTTTAAACCAACAACAGTAAAAGGACAAAGAACAGTATTACATAATGATAACGTGTGTGATTCAAGATTTAACTAAATATATATGCACCTAAAACTGGAGCACCCAGATTTATAAAAACAATCACTACTTATTTTAGGAAATGACTTAGCCACACAGTAATAATTCGGGACTTCCATACCCCACTGAAAGCATTAGACAGATCATTAAAGCAGAAAACTAACAAAGAAATTCTGGACTTAAATTTGACACTTGACCAGTTAGGCCTAATATACATTGACAGAATATTCCACCCAACAACCAGAGAATATATATTCTTCTCATTTCCACCTACTCTAAGACTGACTACATATGCAGTCAAAAAGCAAGTCTCAGCAAATTGAAAAAAGAATTAAAATCATGGCCAGGCACAGTGGCTCATGCCTGTAAGCCCAACACTTTGGGAGGCCAAGGCAGGCGGATCATGAGGTCGGGAGATCAAGACCATCCTGGCTAACATGGTGAAACCCCATCTCTAATAAAAACACAAAAATTAGCCAGGTGTGGTGGCAAGGGCCTGTAGTCCCAGCTACTCGGGAGGCTGAGGCAGAAGAATCACTTGAGCCCGGGAGGCAGAGGTTGCAGTGAGCCAAGATCGCACCACTATACTCTAGCCTGGGCGACAGAATGAGAAGCAGGACTCCGTCTCAAAATAAATAAATAAATAAAAATAAAAATCATATCAATCATCTTCTCAGATCACAGTGGAATAAAAATAGAAATCAAAACTGACAAAAACTCTCAAAACTACAAAGATACATGAAAACTAAATTACTTGCTCCTGAATGACTATAGGGGAAATAATAAAATTAAGACATAAATTTAAAAATTTATTTGAAACAAATGAAACTAGAGACACAACATACCAAAATCCCAAGGATGTGTCAAAAGTACAGTGCTTAAAGTCAACATTAAGAAGACAAATAGATCTCAAATTAACAAGCTAATGTAACACCTAAAGGGACTAGAAACTCAGAAAAGCACTAAACCGAAAGCTAGCAGAAGAAAATAAATAACTAAAATCAGAGCAGAACTAAATAGAATAGACAGCAAAATAAATAAATAAATAGTATCAACAAAATGAAAATTTTTTCTTGTAAAGGATAGAAAAGATTAATAGGCTGCTGGCTAGATTTTTAAAAAATTGTTTCATTTGCGAAAAGTGCTTCTTACAAAAGGGCAGCTGCAAAATACAGAGACCTCTGCAACAATTACTTGTTTTTCTTAAAGTGAAAGAATGGGTCAGATCCAAGGAATCAAAGCAGTAGATGGCCAAATAGGAGAATCCCAGAGTTACATTCAGGAAACAGAGTGACAAAACACAAAGGTAAAATTTGCCTTTGTGAATCAAGGAATTCTTCCAACAACTTAACTTTAGCTAGTCTTAGGGATTCCAAAGCCCTCCTCTTCGGTGCAAAAGTATGACTTATTACTACAAACCCATTGTTCCACTACAACAAACACCTTAGAACAGAGTTTTGAATCCCATCTCTCTACCTGAAAGCTCAAGAGTGGAATGACGCAAATACCCACAAAAACAAACACAAAAACCCGACAACAAAATGCCCCAACGAGGACAAAGGTTTTTTAGATAGTGCCTGTACTGGAAAGGATAGATTGTAAAACATTAAATACAACTATGTAGCCAAGTCCCAGTTTGTGTTAATATATGGAATAAATGGGTAGTTTTAACCTTTATGGCTAACCCCACTTCTCTATTTAGAGACAGAGCTTGTGCTGCTATACGGACAACTACCAACATACTGCTTTGTTCTTTAAGATCTATCTGCCACACAAGTCTTAAACCACTAAACTGGGTTTTTCTACTAAGTCTAAAAATACTGCATCTATGCAGGGATGAGAAGCTTATCACACACCCACACTCACATACACCAATGTCAGCCCTCAGGAGTCAACTTCCAACTGAGCATTGATGTTATGCTTCTATATCTTTGATAAGTATTCTTCTCCATTTTTCTATCATGCAAAACAGTAGAAATATCAACACAATCACACCTAGTTCTGGTTACCCAGTAGTACTAATTGTGTGCAATTAAACAAGAGACCATAACCACAGAACAAGTGCATGTAGTAGGGATTACAGGGTAGGGAGCAGGTATAAAAACACAGATGTGCAGGTTTCACTAGAAATCTCAAGGATCTATGTCCCATGTCTGGAGCAGAAGGCTACTGGCCAGCTTAGGTACCTTCACCCATCCCTCCTATTCTTGGACCCCAAAGCAGGGCCACTGCTTTTACTTTCAAACGTGGGGTCCTCAAAATGAGTGTGTGAAAAGTTCATAAACACAATCTGGTTGAAAACAGATGATGCAACATACCTACACTAACTGTCTGATGTTAAATTTGTATTACAAAAACTAACTTTAAGACTTATTTTTGTAACTTTTTTCAACAGGGAAAACAACAACTCCTCAGGGAAAGGTGAGGGGTTGAGAAGACAGGCCCTGGGTAAAAATTCTTAATGACAGCACCTGGAGTTGATAGGCCTGCCTCAGAGAGAACACATGCACTGCCATACTACCACAGGGAACAGATGCTGCCTGGGGTCAGCAGACCAGTTCACATGCCACACAAGGTTGCTATAGATCCAAGTCATAAAAAATCTTCCATCATGAAACAACTCCCACTGATCTTCAGAGTCTGTCAGTTCGTCATCCCTACCTGCAGTCAAAAGCATAAGCAACATCTCACCCAGCTCAAAGGTGACAACATCTTCTTCGATGTCAAAGGGGTTGTTGTTCTCTTTCCTCGATGAGTTCCCAGAAGTGGTTCCTTTGTTGGGCCCAGTGTCTGCTTGATGTTCCCACTTTCTGTCTCTGTGGATCCTCTCTACAGCGATCAGGGTATGCATGCTTCTAAAAACAGTTCCCTCAAAATGGGCAGCTCCCACATTCTTCAAAATACCTGTGTGCCGGGAGAACGATCGAGATGGCCGATCGCTAACATCCCGGGATTGCAGCTCTCAGGGAAGGCGCGGAGAACTAGAGGATGCCACACTTTCAGACAAAGTCTGGTCACTCACGGAGCAGAAGTTCCCCCAGTGGTGGAAACACACGAGTCGCCAGCGCCACTCTCATGGTCAGCGCAGCGGTTCCGCTGGCACCTCGACGCGGCAGCGCTCGGCACAGAGTAAACGGGACAGGTTCCCCTTCTGACCGAGGTTTGGAGCCCCAGGAAGGCAGAGTCGCCTACTACGGACACAAGAAGGAAGCCCGACAGGAGAATCCTGGGCAGAAAAGCACCATCAGTTTTAACGCCACTGCTCTGGCCCTGGGAACTAACAACCTGGACGTCCACTCAAGAGACCTAATCTGAAAGTTGGTAATTTCAAAGACGACAGGAGGATAATTTACAATGACGGGAAGAAACCAGCGTAAAAAAGCTGAGAATACTCAAAGTCAGAACGCCTCTCCCTCTAAAGATGATCACAGTTCCACATCAACAATGGAACAAGGCTTGATGGAGAACGAGCGCCTCCTGATGACAGAATCACTCTTCAAGGAATGGATAATAACAAACTTTGGTGAGTTAAAAGAACATGTTGTAGCCCAACGTAAAGAAACTAGGAACTTTGAAAAAAGGTTTGATGAAATCCTATTGAGAATAGACAACTTAGAGAGGAGTATGAGTGAATTAATGGAACTGAAGAATACAATACAGGAACTCCGAGAAGTATGCACAGGTTTAAACACTCGAATTGTTCAAGCAGAAGAAGGGATATCAGAGGTCAAAGTCCAACTTAATGAAATAAAACGTGAAGAAAAGATTAGAGAAAAAAGGATAAAAAGGAATGAGCAAAGTCTCCAAGAAATGTGGGACTATGTGAAAGACCAAATTTACGTTTGATAGGTGTACCTGAATGCGACGGAGAGAATGAATCCAAGCTGGAAAATACCCTTCAGGATATTATTCAGGAAAATTTTCCTAAACTAGCAAAGCAGGTCAACATTCAACCCCAGGTAATACAGAGAACACCACAAAGATATTCCTCAAGAAGAGCAACCCCAAGGCACATAATCGTTAGATTCACCAGGGTTGAAACGAAGGAGAAAATACTAAGGGCAGCCAGAGAGAAAGGTCAGATTACCCACAAAGGCAAGCCTATCAGACTTACAGCAGATCTCTCGGCAGAAACTCTACAGGCCAGAAGAGAGTGGGGGCCGATATTCAACATCCTCAAAGAACAGAACCTTCAGCCCAGAATTTCATATCCAGCCAAACTAAGCTTCACAACTGAAGGAAAAATAAAATCTTTTATGAACAAGCAAGAACTCAGAGATTTTATTACCACCAGGCCTGCTTTACAAGAGCTTCTGAAAGAAGCATTACACACAGAAAGAAACAACCAGTATTAGCCTTTCTAAAAATACACCAAAAAGTAAAGAGCACCAACATAAAGAAGAATTTACACCAACGAATGGATAAAACAGCCGGTTAACATCAAAGGGCGGTAACCCTAAATTTAAATCGACTAAATCCCCCAATCAAAAGACACAGCCAAAACCCAACGGCATGTTACATCCAGACCTGTTTCACATGCAAGGATACACAAAGACTCAAAACAAAGGGATGGAGAAAGATTTACCAACCAAATGGAGAGCAAAAATAAATAATAAATAAATAAAAAGCAGGAGTTGCAATTCTTGTATCAGATAAAATAGATTTTAAAGCAACAAAGATATAGTGGTAAAAGGATCAATGCAACAACAAGAGCTAACGATCCTAACACCCAGATACGAGACTTAGATTCAATGAGACAGAAAATTAATAAGGATATCAAGGACTCGAACTCAGATCCAGAACAAGTAAACTTAATAAATATTTATAGAGCTCTCCACTTCAAATACACAAAATATACATTCTTGTCAATACCACATCACACCTACCCATAAGTTTAAATGAAACATTGATTGGCCATTATTAATACCCAATTTTTTTCAAAATAAAGCAATATTTCCATTTACTCTCCCTCTTTCTCTTCCTCTTTCTTCCTATCCTTTACTTATTTTTATTTTATTTTATTTTCTTTCCTTCTCTCAAAAAAAAAAAAAAATCAACTTGTAAACCTCTAGATCCAGGTCGGCAATGTCTCTTTCATTGCTTGATTTCCTTTCTTCCCTTCCCTCCCTCCCTCCCTCCCTCCCCGCTTCCTCCCTTCCTTCCTTCCTTCATTCCTTCCTTCCTCCCTACAAAAAAAAAAAAAATACCTGTGTGCCTTGTTGTTCATTGCCTCTTTGTATTTCTGAACGAGTTTCTTCTTCTCTTCTTTCTTCTCCACCCAGTACTCGCTTGGAATGACAAAGTTAGACGTGATCCGGCATTCTGGGCAGGACTTTATGATCTTGCTCTCAAATTGCTTAGCACTCCTCCACTTGCGAATGCACTTGAGACAGTAGGTGTGGTTGCAGATGGAGAGGACCCCAAAGCAGTGCTCACTGGGGTTGGCTTTCTCATAGACCACCCCCATGTAGATCCCACACAACATGTCCTTGCTGTGCTGCACAGCAAATGAGAGTTCCATGTCCTCCTCATGGGCCTCATTGCACCATTTTATGTGCTGTGATCTCTGGGTAGCATCTATCCAATACAGGACCTGCAGCCCACACATGTCACATGAATCTTTGTGGAGACACGTTTTCCCCGTATCGGCACTCTCCCACTGCAGCATCGGAGCACAGCTGCTTCTTTGTTTCCATGGCAGTTTGCTCTTTCTCTGATTCTTCCTTGGTCACTGAGCCCTGCAGGGGTGCTTCAGTGCAGGAAGGTGCAGTACGGCCAATGTAGGGTTGCCCAGGAACAAACTCAATAGCATTCACCCTGTCCCCTGAACCTACTCCTACAGTTGCAAAGTTTGAATTTCTTGACTCAGCTTCACCTGTATTTGTTTCAACTATCAATGAGAGACTTGAGGAAGCAACAAGGGATGACTTTGTAGTTAGCTCTGTAGCAGTTGCTTCTTCCTGTTTCAATGGCTATGTTCATAACTGCAGCGGTCTCCATAAACACAGTACCCTCGCTGAAAATACTTGCACACTACACCATACGAACTGTCAGAGAGGTCATGTAAGTATCCACAGTTATCTCTGTCTTACAAACTCCATGCATAATATAACAGCAAGGTGACCTGTTCAGTCCAGCCAGCGGCTACCACCGCTGCAGTGGTGGCCGTGGCTACCCAGCTGTGGCTGCTGTCACTGCCACCACCCAGGAATGGGGCGGTGACTGTGGGGATCGGGGTGCAGGAGGTTGCTGCCGCCACCACCGCTACCACTACTGCTCCTAATGTTGTGGCCGTTGTTCCGGGAGCTACAGCCTCCGCCATTACTGTTTATTCCACACAGCTAAGGCTCGGAACTTCCAGGATCATACAGTTCCGGTCCGGCTGCTGAGAGAAGACCACGAGGCCAGGCAAGGGGAGGGGAAGGGGACTGAGGCACCCACCCGGTCCCCACTGGCTCTGCTTGCTAGATTTTGTTTGTTTGTTTGTTTGTTTATTGTGGTGCAGAATCTGGCACTGTCACCCAGTCTGCAGTGCAGTGGCGTGATCTCAGCTCACTGCAACCTCCGCATGCCGGGTTCAAGCAATTCTCCCTGCCTTAGCCTCCCGAGCAGCTGGGATTACAGATCCGTGCCACCACGGCCGGCTATTTTTTGTACTTTTTAGTAGAGACGGGGTTTCATCAGGTTGGCCAAGCTGGTCTTGAACTCCTGACTTCAGGTGATCCGCCTGCTTCCACCTCTCAAAGTGTTGAAATTAAGGCGTGAGCCACCACGCCTCACTCGCCGTAGCTAGATTTTTTAAAAAGAGAGAGAAAGCCTGGCGTGGTAGCTCATGCCTATAATCCCAGCACTTTGGTGGGCAGAGGTGGGCAGGTCACTTGAGGTCAGGAGTTCCAGCCCAGCCTGGCCAACATGGTGAAACCTCTTCTCTACTAAAAATACAAAAGTTAGTTAGGCGTGGTGGTGTGCGCCTGTAATCCCAGCCTCTCTGGAGGCTGAGGCAGGAGAATCACACTTGAACCCAGGAGGTGGAGGTTGTAGTGAGCCAAGACTGTGCCATTGCCCTCCAACCTGGGTGACAGAGTGAGACTCCATCTCAAAAATAATAATAAAAAAATAAATAAAAAGAGACAGAAGATGCAAGTAAGCATAATCAGAAATGACAAAGGTGACATTACAACTAATCCTGCAGAAATACAGAAGAGCCTCGGGGACTAGTATAAACATCTCTATACACACAAACTAGAAAATCTAAGGGAAATGACTAAACTCCTAGAAAGATAATACCTCTCAAGACTGAAGCAGGAAGAAATAGAATTCCTGAACAGACCAAGAGTGACTTACAAATTGAATCAGTAATTTTAAAAAACCTACCAACCAACAAAAAAAAAACCCAAAAAAAGAAAAACAAAACTCTGTACCAGAGGCTTTCACAGCTGAATTCTTCCACATACAAAGAGCTGATACTAATCCTACTGAAATTTTTTTTAAAAACTTGAAGACGGATTCCTTCCTAGCTCATTCTATGAAACCAATATCATTCTGATACCAAATCTGACAAAGATACACACACACAAAAAAATGATAGAATAATATCCCTGATGAAAAATCCAAAGGAATCAGAAAGAAAGAAAGACATACAAATAGGAAGAGATGAAGACAAATAATCTTTCTTTACTGCTGATATGTATCTACACCTAGAAAACCTTAAAGATTCCTCCAAGTCTCCTAGACTTGACAAACAACTTCAGTAAAGTTTCAGGATACAAAACAAACATACAAATATGAATAGCGTTTTTATACACCAATAACTCAAGCTGAGAACCAAATCAAAAAAGGAAAACTCCTCAAGAAAATACTTGCAAACTGAATTCAGCAGCATGTCAAAGAGATAACATTGACATAATCAAGTAGGATTTATTCCTGAGATGAAAATCTGGTTCAATATATGCCAATCAGTAAATATGATTCACCACAAAGAGAATTCAAAACAAAAACTAAATTGTCATCTCGATAGATATAGAAAAAAAATCAATAAAATCCAATACCTTTTTTTTTTTTTTTTTTTTGAGACAGAGTTTCGCTCTTGTTACCCAGGCTGGAGTGCAATGGCACGATCTCAGCTCACCGCAACCTCCTCCTCCTGGGTTCAAGCAATTCTCCTGCCTCAGCCTCCCGAGTAGCTGGGACTACAGGCACACGCCAGCATGCCCAGCTAATTTTTGTATTTTTAGTAGAGACGGGGTTTCACCATGCTGGCCAGGATGGTCTCGATCTCTTGACCTTGTGATCCACCCTCCTCGGCCTCCCAAAGTGCTTGGATTATAGGCGTGAGCCACCGCGCCCGGCCAAAATCCAATATCCTTAAAAAAAAAAAAAAATCTCAACAAGCTAGGCATCAAGAAACATACCTCAAAACAGTAAGAGCCACCTATGAAAAACCCAAAGCCTACATTATACTGGATGGGCAAAAGTTGGAATCACTCCCCTCAAGAAGTGGAACAATACAGGAATGTCTCACCACTCCTTTTCAACATAGTGCTGGAAGTCCTAACCAGAGAAATCAGGCAAGAGAAAGAAATAAAAGACATCGAAAGAGGGAGTCAAATTATCTTTCTTCACTGATGACATGATTCTATACCTAGAAAACCTTAAAGGTTTCTCCAAAGGACTCATATACCTGACAAATGACTTCAGCAAAGTTTAAGGGTATAAAATCAATGTACAAAAATTAGTAGCATTCTATACAACAATGACATTCAAGCTGAAAAACAAATAAAAATGCAATCCCACTTAAAACAGCCACAAAGGGAGCCTTTAGAAGATGGCTGAATAGGAACAGCTCTGGAGCGCAGTTCCCAGCGAGAGCAACACAGAAGGCAAGTGATCTCCACATTTCCAACCAAGGTACCAGGTTCACCTCAATAGATTGGTTGGACAGTGGGTGTAGCCCAAGGAAGGCAAACTGAGGCAGGGTGGGGTGTTGCCTCATCTGGGAAGTGCAAGGAAGGGGCAGAGGACTCCCTCTCCTACCCAAGGGAGGCCATCGGGGACTTTTCTGGACACCCTGGCACTCTGGCTCAGATACTACACTTTCCCCACAGTCTCTTCAGCCCACAGACCAGGAGATTCCCACTGGTGCCTGTCAACACCAGTGCCGTGGGTTTCCAGCACAAAACTGAGTGGCCATTTTAGTCAGAGCCTGGAGTGCCTACAAGGCAGAACCACCCATTCACCTGAAAAAAGGGGGGCTGAAGGCAGGGAGCCATGTAATCTGGCTTGGCTGGTCCCACTGCCACAAAGACCAGCAAACTGAAACCCACTGGCTTGAGATTTCCACAGCCAGCACAGCTTGAGATTTTCACAGCCAGCACAGCAGTTTAAGCTCTATCTGGGATGGTCAAGCTCGGTGCGAGGAAGGGGAGTCCTCCATTACTGATGCAGTTTTAACCTTAAATGTGTAAACAAAATCGCAAGGAAGGTTACCCAGCAGTTGGGCAGAGCCCATGGCAGCTCACTAAGGCCTCTGCAGGCAGACTGACTAGACTCCCTCCTTGCTGGGCAAGGCATCTCTGAAAAAAGGCAGCAGCCTGTCAGGGACTTATAAATAAAGCCCCACCTTCCTGGGACACAGCACCTGGGAATAAGGGCGATTGTGAGTTCCACTTCAGCAGACTTAAACGTCCCTGTCCAGCAGCTCTGAAGGGAGCAACGGAGCTCTCAGCATAGCACTTGAGCTCTGATAAGGGACAGAGTGCCTCCTCAAGGGGCTCCCTTATCCCCGTATATCCAAAGAGACACTTCATACAGGAGAGCTCTGGCTGTCATCTGGTGGATACCCTTCTGGGATGAAACTACCAGAGGAAGGAACAGGCAGCAATCCTTGCTGTTCTGCAGCCCCCCACAGGTGATTCCCAGGCAAGCAGGGTCTAGAGTGGACCTCCAGCAGTCCTACAGCAGAGGAGCCTGACTGTTAGAAGGAAAACTAAAAAACAGAAAGAAGACCGCCGAGACCGCGTCCACCCCGCGAACACAAAGCCTCGCCCTTGCCGTTCCGTCGCCCGTCCACACCCGCCGCCAGCTCACCATGGATGATGATATCGCTGCACTTGTTGTCGACAACGGCTCCGGCATGTGCAAGCCCGGCTTCGCGGGCAACGATGCTCCCCGGGCCGTCTTCCCCTCTATCGTGGGGCGCCCCAGGCACCAGGGCGTGATGGTGGGCATGGGTCAGAAGGACTCCTACGTGGGTGACGAGGCCCAGAGCAAGAGAGGCATCCTGACCCTGAAGTACCCCATCGAGCATGGCATTGTCACCAACTGGGACGACATGGAGAAGATCTGGCACCACACTTTTTACAACGAGCTGCGTGTGGCTCCTGAGGAGCACCCCGTGCTGCTTACTGAGGCCCCCCTGAACCCCAAGGCCAACCGTGAGAAGATGACCCAGATCATGTTTGAGACCTTCAACACCCCAGCCATGTATGTGGCCATCCAGGCTGTGCTTTCCTTGTACGCCTCTGGCCGTACCACTGGCATCGTGATGGACTCCGGTGACGGAGTCACCCACACTGTGCCCATCTATGAGGGGTATGCCCTCCCCCACGCCATCCTACATCTGGACCTGGCTGGCCGGGACCTGACTGACTACCTCATGAAGATCCTCACCGAGCGCGGCTACAGCTTCACCACCACAGCTGAGCGGGAAATCGTGCGTGACATCAAGGAGAAGCTGTGCTACGTCGCCCTGGACTTCGAGCAGGAGATGGCCACGGCGGCCTCCAGCTCCTCCCTGGAGAAGAGCTATGAGCTGCCCGATGGTCAGGTCATCACCATCGACAACGAGCGGTTCCGCTGCCCTGAGGCACTCTTCCAGCCTTCTTTCCTGGGCATGGAATCTTGTGGCATCCACGAAACTACCTTTAACTCCATCATGAAATGTGACGTGGACATCCGCAAAGACCTGTATGCCAACACAGTGCTGTCTGGTGGTACCACCATGTACCCTGGCATCGCTGACAGGATGCAGAAGGAGATCACCGCCCTGGCACGCAGCACAATGAAGATCAAGATCATTGCTCCTCCCGAGCGCAAGTACTCAGTGTGGATTGGTGGCTCCATCCTGGCCTCGCTGTCCACCTTCCAGCAGATGTGGATCAGCAAGCAGGAGTATGATGAGTCCGGCCCCTCCATCGTCCACCGCAAATGCTTCTAGGCGGACTGTGACTTAGTTGCGTTACACCCTTTCTTGACAAAACCTAACTTGCGCAGAAAACAAGATGAGATTGGCATGGCTTTATTTGTTTTTTGTTTTGGTTTGGTTATTTTTTTTGGCTTGACTCAGGATTAAAAACTGGAACGGTGAAGGTGACAGCAGTCGGTTGGTGCGAGCATCCCCCAAAGTTCTACAATGTGGCCGAGGACTTGATTGTGTACATTGTTTTTTTTTAAGTCATTCCAAATATCGTGAGATGCATTGTTACAGGAAGTCCCTTGCCCTCCCAAAAGCCATCCCATTTCTCTCTAAGGAGAATGGCCCAGTTCTCTCCCAAGTCCACATGGGAGGTAACAGCATTGCTTTTGTTGTAAATTATGTAATGAAAAAATTTTTAAATTTCGCCTTAATACTTTTTTTATTTTGTTTTATTTTGAAAGATTTTAGCCTCTGGCTACCCCTTTTTTGTCCCTCGAGATGTATGAAGGCTTTTGGTCTCCCTGGGAGTGGGTGGAGGCAGCCAGGGCTTACCTGTACACTGACTTGAGACCAGTTGAATAAAGTGCACACCTTAAAAAAAAAAAAAAAAAAAAAAAAAAACAGAAAGAAATAGCTTTGACATCAACAGAAAGAATGTCCATTCAGAGACCCCATCCAAGAGTCACCAACTTCAAAGACCAAAGGTAGACAAATCTACAAAGATGGGAAGAAACCAGTGGAAAAAGGCTGAAATCATCAAAAACCAGAACGCCTCTCCTCCTCCAAGCGATCACAACTCCTCACCAGCAAGGGAACAAAACTAGATGGAGAATGAGTTTGATGAATTGACAGAAGCAGGCTTCAGAAGGTGGGTAATAACAAACTTCTCTGAGATAAAGGAGTATGCTCTAACCCAATGCAAAGAAACAAGAACCTTGCAAAAAGGTGAGACGAAATGCTAACTAGAATAACCAGCTCAGGGAAGAACATAAACAACTTAATGGAACTGAAAAACAGCACAAAAACTTCACAAAGCATACAGAAGCTTCAGTAGCTGAATGAATCAAGCAGAAGAAAGGATATCAGAAATCGAAGATCAACTCAATGAAATAAAACAAGAAGGCAAGATTAAAGAAAAAAGAGTGAAAAGAAATGAACAAATCCTCCAAGAAATATGGGATTATGTGAAAAGACCTAATCCATGTTTGATAGGTGTACCTAAATTTGACAGAGAGAATGAATCCAAGCTAGAAAACACTCTTCAGGTTATTATCCAGGAGAATTTTCCCAACCTAGCAAGGCAGGCCAACATTCAAAGTCAGGAAATACAGAGAACACCACAAAGATATTCCTCAAGAAGAGCAACCCCAAGGCACATAATCATCAGATTCACCAGGGTTGAATGAAGGAAAAAATGCTAAGGGAAGCAAGAGAGAAAGGCAGGGTTACCCACCAAGGGAAGCCCATCAGACTCACAGTGGATCTCTCAGCAGAAACTCTAAAGCCAGAAGAGAGTGGGGGCCAATATTCAACATCCTCAAATGTTGAGAAACATTAAGTTTACCCTGCCCCCATGGCTCCTTTGTGGAGGATACCTTGTAGTTTGTAAGTAGTGATAGGTGGGTAATGGCTGCCTACTTGGTATATTCCTGAGTTACATGTGCATGTAACACACCTGTGTGTTAATAAGAATCACCTGTCAAAGAACAAATAAATGCATGGATTAATCTCTGCTCAGGGCCTTCAGTTCTGGAGAGCTGCAAGGCCCACAGGCTCTCAGGCTGTTGGTCCCCAGAGTAGATCCACTCTGTTGGCTATCTAGGTCACTGCCTCTCACTGCCTTGTAATGCCTTCAGCCCATCCTGGGTGGGAGTCTCCTGGCTGAGCTGGTTCTTGGCACTTAAAGAAAAGAACTTTCAACCCAGAATCACATCCAGCCAAACTAAGCTTCATAAGTGAAGGAGAAATGAAATCATTCATGGACAAACAACTACTGAGAGATTTCATCACCACCAGGCCTGCCTTACAAGAACTCCTGAAGGAAACACTACACATGGTTTTGTGTACCAAATTGTAAAGACTATTGGCAGAATGAAGAAACTGCATCAACTAATGGGCAAAACAATCAGCTAGTATCAAAATAGCAGGATTAAATTCACATATAACAATATTCACCTTAAATATAAATGGGCTAAATGCCCCAATCAAAAGACACAGAATGACAAATTGGATAAAGAGTCAAGACCCATCAGTGTGCTGTATCCAGGAAACCCATCTCACATGCAAGGATACACAAAGGCTCAAAATAAAGGGATGGAAGAGATTTACCAAGAAAATGGAGAGCAAAAAAAAGCAGGAGCTGTAATTCTCATCTCTGATAAAATAGACTTTAAAAAAACAAGATCAAAGAGACAAAGAAGGACATTACATAATGGTAAAATGATCGATACACAAGAAGAGCTAACGATCCTAAATATATACACAACCAATACAGGAGCACCCAGATATATAAGGCAAGTTCTTAATGACTTACAAAGAGACTTAGACTCCCACACAATAATAGTGGGAGACTTTAACACCCCATTGTCAATATTAGACAGATCAATGACACAGAAAATTAACAAGGATATCCAGGACTTGAACTCAGTTCTGGACCAAGCAGACCTAATAGACATCTACAGAACTTTCCACCCCAAATCCACAGAATATACATACTTCTCAGAACCACATTGCACTTACTCTAAAATTGACCACATAATGGAAGTAAATCACTTCTCAGCAAATGCAAAAGAATGAAAATCACATCAGTCGCAATCAAATTAGAACCAGGATTAAGAAACTCACTCAGAACTGCACAACTACTTGGAAACTGAACAACCTGCTTCTGAATGACTACTGGTTAAATAATGAAATAAAGGCAGAAATAAAGATGTTCTTCGAAACCAATGTGAGAACAAAGACACAACGTTCCAGAATCTCTGGGACACATTTAAAGCAGTGTCTAGTGGGAAATTTGTGGCACTAAATGCCCACATGAGAAGCAAGGAAGATGTAAAATCGACACCCTATTATCACCACTAAAAGAATTAGAGGAGCAGGAATAAACAAATTCAAAAGCTAGCAAGAGACAAGAACTGACTAAGATCAGAGCAGAGCTAAAAGAGATAGAGACAAAAAAAAAAAAAAAAAAAAAAACTCATCAAAAAATCAATGAATCCAGGAGCTGGTTTTTTGGAAAAGATTTACAAAACAGATTAGACTGCTGGCAAGACTAATAAAAAAGAAAAGAGAGAAGAATCAAATAGATGCAATAAAAAATGATAAGGAGGATATCACCGCCGATTCCACAGAAATACAAACTACCATCAGAAATTACTATAACACTTCTCTGTACATAAACCAGTAAATCTAGAAGAAATGGATAAATTCCTGGACACTTACACCCTCCCAGACTGAACCAAAAAGAAGCTGAATCCTGAGTAGACCAATAACAAGGTCTGAATTTGAGGCAGCAACTAATAGCCTACCAACCAAAAAAACTCCAGGACCAGATAGGTTCACAGCCGAATTCTACCAGATGTACAAAGAGGAGCTGGTACTATTCCTTCTGAAACTATTCCAAACAATACAAAATGCAGGAATCCTCCCTAACTCATTTTATGAGATCAACACCAACCTGATACCAAAACCTGGCAGAGACACAACTAAAAAAAAAAATTTCATGCCAATATCCATGATGAACATTGATGCAAAAATTTTCGATAAAATACTGACAAACCAAATCCAACGGCACATCAAAAAGCTTATACAACATGATCAGGTCAGTTTCATCTCAGGGATGCAAGGCTGGTTCAACATACACAAATCTATAAATGTAATCCATCACATAAACAGAACCAAAGACAAAAACCACGTGATTATCTCAGTAGATGCAGAGAAGGCCTTTGACAAAATTCAACAGCCCTTTATGCTAAAAACTCTCAATAAACTAGGTATCAACAGAACATATCTCAAATAACAAAAGCTATTTATGACAAACCCACAGACAATATCATACTGAATGGGCAAAAACTGGAAGCATTCCCTTTGAAAACTGGCATTAGACAAGGGTGCCCTCTCTCACCACTCCTATTCAACATAGTATTGTAAGTTCTGGCCAGAAAAATCAGACAAGAAAAAGAAATAAAGGGTATTCAATCAGGGAAATAAGAAGTCAAATTGTCTCTATTGCAGATGACATGATTGTGTATTTAGAAGACCCCATCATCTCAGCCCAAAATCTCCTTACGCTGATAAGCAACTTCAGCAAAGTCTCAGGATACAAAATCAGTGTGCAAAAATCACAAGCATTCCTATACACCAGTAACAGACAAACAGAGAGCCAAATAATGAGTGAACTCCCATTCACAGTTGCTACAAAGAGAATAAAATACCTAGGAATACAACTAACAACGGACGTGAAGGATTTATTCAAGGAGAACCACAAACCATTGCTCAAGGAAATGAGAGGACACAAACAGATGGAAAAACATTCCATGTTCATGCTTAGGAAGAGTCAATATCGTGAAAATGGCCATACTGCCCAAAGTAATTTATAGATTCAATGCTGTCCCCATCAAGCTACCATTGATCTTCTTCACAAAACTAGAAAAAAACCACCTTAAACTTCATATAGAACCAAAAAAGAGTCTGCATAGCCAAGACAATTCTAAGCAAAAAGAACAAAGCTGGAGGCATCACACTACCTTACTTCAAACTATGCTACAAGGCTACAGTAATCAAAACAGCATGGTACTGGTACCAAAACAGAGATATAGACCAATGGAATAGAACAGAGGCCTGGGAAGTAACATCACACATCTACAACCATCTGATTTTTGACAAACCTGACAAAAATAAACAATGGGGAAAGGATTCCCTGTTTAATAAATGGTATTGGGAAACCTGGCTAGCCATGTGCAGAAAGCTGAAACTGGACCCATTCCTTATGCCTTACACAAAAATTAACTCCAGATGGATTAAAGATTTAAACATAAAACCTAACACCATAAAAATCCTAGAAAAAAAACCTAGGCAATGCCATTCAGGACATAGGCATAGA